AGCTTTTGTTATTAATTGCCTTATATAATTGGCTGCTCCCATGTTAGGGGCATAGATATTTACAATTGTTAGATCTTCTTGTTGGATGGACCATTTAAGTAGGATATAGTGTCCTTCCTCATCTCTTATTATAGTCTTTTTTTTAACATCTAATTTGTCTGAGATGAGGATTGCCACCCCAGCTTTCTTTTGGTGTCCATTAGCATGGTAAACGGTTTGCCAGGGCGCCTGGATGGCTCAGTTGGTTGGGTGACTGCCTTCAGCTCAGGTCATGATCCTGGAGTCCTGGGATCGATTCCCGCATCGGGATCCCCGCTCAGTGGGGAGTCCGCTTCTCCCTCTGACCCTCTTCCCTCTCGTGCTGTCTCTCTTTCTCTCTCTCTCAAAGAAATAAAATCTTTAAAAAATTAAATAAATAAATGTTTTTCACCCCTTCACTTTCAATGTGGGGGTGTCTTGAGGTCTAAAATGAGTCTCCTGCAGACAGCATATTGATGGGTTTTGTTTTTTAATCCAATGTGATATCCTGTGTCTTTTGATTGGGGCATTTAGCCCATTTACATTCAGGGTAACTATTGAAAGATATGAATTTAGTGCCATTGTATTGCCCGTAAGGTGACTGTTACTGTATATTGTCTGTGTTCCTTTCTGGTCTATGCTACTTTCAGGTTCTCTCTTTGATTAGAGGACCCCTTTCAATATTTCTTGGTGGGCTGGTTTCGTGTTGGCAAATTCCTTTAGTTTTTGTTTATCCTGGAAGCATTTTATCTCTCCTTCAATTTTCAATGACTGCCTATCTGCATATAGTATTCTTGGCTGCATATTTTTCTCGTTTAGTGCTCTGAAGATATCAGGCCAGTCCTTTCTAGTCTGCCAGATCTCTGTGGATAGGTCTGTTGCCAATCTAATGTTTCTACCGTTATAGGTTACTATCTCTTCTCCCGAGCTGCTTTCAAGATTTTCTCTCTGTCTCTGAGCCTCGTAAGTTTTAGTATTAGATGTCGGGCTGTTGACCTATTTTTATTGATTTTGAGAGGGGTTCTCTGTGCCTCCTGGATTTTGATGCCTGTTTCCTTCCCCAC